CCCTGCGTGTCCTCCCTGCGTGTCCAGGTTTGCTACTCTTTGGTTTAGTTTCTCCCAGTTTAGTTTATCCTTAGTCCTGTTTTGCCATCCCCACTTTATGTTCAGTATTCTTAATAAATCACCCTCACATCTCAATAAGTGCTGCATTTGAGTCCTCCTTTCTACACTTCACACAGCTGCGGCCCCAGTCGTGACAGGTGGACTCTTTGGCTTCCTGAACAATCTTTATTTTGCTCTCTATAATTTTTGGAGGCTGAATGAGCTATTAGATTATTAGAGGAATGATATGATGATTACACTGACACTGACTTTGACAATGACAATGTCAACATTCAAAATATTAATGTGAGAGACAATAATGCCAATGTTGACAACAATGAACTGCATGATGATCACAATGCTGTTGTTGTTGTTGTTGGCGTTGAAAATGAGGATTCTGATGAGGCATTTGAAGACTGTGTGGATGTTCACCAGTACATCCCAGAAGAAGATCCTCAGCCAGGTGTATCCAGGAGGAGGTCTAGAGAGCTGTATGAAGAAGATGTGGAACCAAACAAAAGAATCAGATGGAGCGAGGAGTTTTCTGATGATGACTCTGACTTCTTTTCTGCTTGTGACACTGATAGCGAGGGCTGTTTTGGTAATATTGCTGATGAGGACATCAATCAGCAGGTAACAGAAGAAGGGCCGCTGGCTGGTGGATCCACGAAAAGGTCCAGAGAGGAAGATGTAGATGAAGAAGAGCGTGATAGCAAAAATTCCAGGCTTGCAAACTCTGATTCAGGGACCAGCTCAACTGTGTACGACCACTCTGAGAGCAGTAGTGATGAACGTTTTGAAGATGCGCAGGAAGAGCTTGACAACCATGAAACTGGAGGCTCGAGGAAGCGTTCCCAAGAGGATTTTGAGGAAGAAGAGGAATACTTGCATGTTTGCAAATTTCGGAGGTGTTCAAATGAGTCCACCAGCACCTGTGATGACGACTATCACTATTTCGATGGGTTTTTTCTCTGTCCTTTTAGTAGGCTGATGGCCTACTCAGGTGACCCTGATTCCTCCCTCAGTTATGCTGCAATAAGCTGGGTATACACTGTGCAATTTGTACAGTCGCGTTATTCAGCTCCTGCTCAGACTGTACGATTGACTCAGGGGTGAGTAGTAGGTCACGATGCTGGGTCTCACACTATATGGCCCGCTGCTCTGTGCGACCTGAGTGCTCACACTGTGCGTCCATAGCATGAAGGTTATGACACAAAATTTTACACTATTTTCACGGTTGTTGCGGTCGTGATAATTGGGGTGGCTGTAGCTCAGGAGGTAGAGCAGGTCACCTACTGATCAGAAGGTTGGTGGTTCGATCCCTGGCTCCTCCAGTCAGCACGTCAAGTATCCTTGAGCAAGATACTAACCCCAAGTTGCTTTCTGATACATCCATTGGAGTGTGAATGTAGTTAGAAAGCACTAAGTATAGAGACAGTGTTTGTGAGAATGGGTGTGATTGGGTGAGTGAGGCGTGTTGTATAGAGTGCTTTGAGTACTCCGGGAGAGTAGAAAAGTAGAAAAGAGTAGAAAAGCGCTGTGTAAGAATCAGTCCATAATTTTGTGAGGCCACATCGAAAAGGTTCGGACGAGCTTGCCAAAGTTCTACAAACCTCCATCGCTTGTGTCCAGATCACATCCGTGTAGCTCCATCTTTTCACTTTCATTTCTGTGTTTGTGCGTGCTGCGGTGACACCCTCACAACGGCCGACAGGATTTCAAACAGGTTTGATTTTCTTACGACCAAACGATTGTTGATTGGGAGGTGTTAATCGCTTCTCGTTACCCCATGTATACGACGCACAACACATGATTAACTCGGGCCGA